GTGAGGAAGCCGAGGTGCAGAGATTGGACATGTCTGGTTCAAGATCACACGGCAGCATCGTCTCAAAAGAGGTTGGGGACCCCACCTCTCACTGCAGCTCACCCACCTCACCAGGAGGACCAACCATCCCTCCATCTGGCCCAGGAAATGGTGTGAGTGGCTCCCAGCTCAGCCTAGGTGGGCTGAACTGGCTCTAAGTCCCAGCTCTGCCACCCATCGGCTTTGAAACCTCAGGCCAATGTCTTCGCTTCTCTGAGTCTTATCCATCTCAGAACTGGGGAACTAGCCACTTGCCTCTCAGAGAGGTTGAGAGAATCACCACCTGCAAAGTGGGGTCACTAAAAAAGGGAAAGATGAGGTGTCTACCACCAGGCAGAACAGAAATTGCCAAGAAAATGGCCCAGAGTGGGGAAAAAAAAGAAGAAAAAGCCATAGAAGTTTTCGAGGCGGGAGAGAAATGAGCGTGACTCCCTTCTTTGTAGCATTTCACAGTTCCCACGCACCCTCAGCGGGATTATCTCCCTCATGCAGCCCTGGGATATCTGCCCCGTGCCAGAGAGGCAGGCACAGGCCCAGAGAGGTTAAGGGCCGTGGCCAAGGTCACACAGCATGGAAGAGGCAGAGCAGTGCTGGAAGTCGGTTCTTGCAGCTCTAAATCCAGTGACTGCTTGCATACAAAGCTGTGGACTCAAAGCATTTGGGGAAAGTTTCTGGAAGAGTTGAACTGAGCCTCAGAGAATGGAAGAGCCTTAGCTATGCAGAGAGAGAAATAGACAAACAATTATTTCTCTCAGAAGCATGAATATTTCTGAAGTCCCCAGACCCTAGCAGAGCTGCCTTAGGAAGCAGTGGCTAAGAATGCAAGTTCTGGAGTCCAGCAGACCCCAGACGGAACCAACTTGCCCTGCTCCTCTGAGTGATCTTGGGCAAGCTGTTTAATCCTTCCGAGCCTGTGTCCTCCTCTCAGGAAATAGAAATGGGAACCTCTGGATTTCCCCGGCAATCCAGTGGTTAGGACTCTGTGGACTTCCACTGCCGAGGGCCTGGGTTCAATCCCTGGTTGGGGAACTAGGATCCCACAAGCCGCATGGTGCAGACAGAAGAATAAAATGGGAACCTCCTAGCTCTTACCTCTCCAGCAGCATCAGCATGGCTCAGGAAGTGGCTAGAAATACAGACTTTCAGGCCCCACCTGAATCAGATATCCCGAATCAGAAACTCCAGTGGGCCCAGCAAGCTGTTCTAATGGGATTCCGATGCACACTCTGGTTTGGGGTCCTCCACCCAATAAGACAATTGGATGGTGAAGGCAGTGTTCTGGGCTCCCCAAGCTCCAGATCAGTTTCCCAATCTGTCTATGTTACCCCCTCTCCAGGTGCGGTTCCCGTCCCACTTCAGCTCCGACCTGAAGGATCTGCTGCGGAACCTTCTGCAGGTGGACCTCACCAAACGCTTTGGGAACCTCAAGAACGGGGTCAATGACATCAAGAACCACAAGTGGTTTGCCACGACCGACTGGATCGCCATCTACCAAAGGAAGGTAGGCCCCCCCTTCCCCTTGTGCTCTGAGGGTTTTGGAGGGGGGTGGGCAAGAGCCAGGGAGTATTGCCAATGGAGAGATGAAAAGGGAAGGGGAATTTGAAAATAGGCTGCGGGCTCTGGGTCAGTTTAGATAAGGCAACTTAGAGCATTGGGGGTATAGAAACAGAATTGTGGGGTCATTTGGCCACTCTGTGACCTTGAACAGACTTCCCTCTCTGGAAATTAGTTTCCCCGTGGGTGAATTGGCTATAATAAGATTCTTGGGTTGTTAAGATGAGTCCATACCCTAATGCTAAGATCAGGCCTGGGTCAGAGTAAGTGATCTCATGAATGTTAGCCCATTCGCATTTATTGTTGTAACGATGATTATGTTGACTGCTGAGGTCTGAATGGCTCTTGACCCCTCTCCAGGTGGAAGCTCCCTTCATACCAAAGTTTAAAGGCCCTGGGGACACGAGTAACTTTGACGACTATGAGGAGGAAGAGATCCGAGTCTCCATCAGTGAGAAGTGTGGCAAGGAGTTTTCTGAGTTTTAGGGGTGTGCCTGTGCCCCCATGGGTTTTCTTTGTTTCTTTTTTTTTTTTTTTTTTTTTTTGTGGTGGGTGGGAGGGTTGGATTGAACAGCCAGAGGGCCCCAGAGTCCCTTGCATCTAATTTCACCCGCCCCCGCCCCACCCTCCAGGGTAGGGGGAGCAGGAAGCCCAGATATTTGGAGGGAAACACCAGCTGCTCCCCCTCACCCCCTTCTCCCTCCTGGCCCCCCCCGTCCCCCCTACTGCTTTTGCCTCCCTCCTCCCCCACAGACCCCCACCCTAGCCCATTTCTGCCTGTTTTAAACGAGTTTCTCAGTTCTTCCCTTCTTCAGGTCAGACCAGGTCTTGCTGGTGTGTCAGGGACAGGGTGTGGAAAGAGGGGCCCAAACTTAACTCCAGCCACCTGCCCCCCACCCAAAAAAAAAAAAAAACCACAGGCACCACTCTCTAAGGGCAAATGAATGAAAGGGTAACCTTCCCTTCAGAGCAATCTTGCCAGGGAAGGAAAGATTTTAGTGACATGTTCAGCGGGCTACTTAATACAATATTTTAAAAAAACAATTTACAATCTTATTTAAGTTCCACCAATGCCTCCCACGCTCCTTCCTCTCCCACCCCTTCCCATGCCCCTCCTCCCCAAATCCATTTTAACAAGGCTGGGAAGCAGACTGTAAAGGAAGGAGCTGGGGTTCCAACCTCTCCCCCAAGCTGCTAATCTCCCCCGACCTCCTGCCCCCTCGGGGTCCCCTGCCAAGCCTGGAAGGGTCTCAGCCCCTTTAGGAAGTCCCCACTCCCTTCTGCCCCAATAGACCTGTCTTCACCCGTGGGCTTCGGGACCTAGACAAAGCAGCTGCCCCTCTCCCTGCCAAAGAGGAGTTGTCCCCTGAAAAGATAGAGGGGGAGCCCCGAGCCCAGGGTCTTTCCTCCCAGTAACACTCTCCCCAAACTTCTTAATTTTATTCTCAACTAGATTTTAATGTCCAGCCTCCTTTCAGTTGGGAAGGCCACCCCCGCAAAAGGAGGCCAAGCCCCCCCCCCACCCCGCAGACGGCCCAGAGTTCAAGGCCAAGGTTGCTGGGGAGGGGCTGCTTGTTTTATTCACCCAGGAGCCTCCGCCCCCACCCCTCCCATCCTGGGCGCTCCTCCTCTGCTTAGCTGTCCGCTGTCAATCACCCGTTCTCCCCGCCCCCCCATTGTGGTTTTTTTCTCTCGAGAAAAGTCGGGAGTCACCCCACTCATCCCCATATTTGTCCCTCTCATAATTTCTCCCCATCCCAGGAGGAGCTCTCAGGCCTGGGGTGGGGCCCCGGGTGGGCGCGGGGGCGATTCAACCTGTGTGCTGCGAAGGACGCAACTTCCTCTTGAACAGTGTGCTGTTGTAAACATATTTGAAAACTATTATCAATAAAGTTTTGTTTAAAAAAAAAGTGTCGCTGGTGCTCCTGACTTCGGTCACCCACCCACACACCCCCAGGGGGTTGGAAAGGGAATTTCGGACCACAGCGTCCAGGCTGATCAGCACCTGGTCTGCAGTCCTTGTAAAACCGGGTATAGCTGGAATTCTGCCACTCTCCCCGCCCCGCAGGAGAAGGGGGCGCCAAACTGCCCTCTGACCCCAGATTAGGGGTCCCCACATTCTGAGGCGCGCCCCCTCTGCGTCCAGCCAGAGGCCGAAAGGGCGGGCGCTCTAGGGAGAAGCTGGGGCCGGCGCGCCGGGAGGCCGAGCGGCGGCGGGGGCGGCCCTGGTAGGGGGGTATGGGGTGGGGGTGACGGTGCGCGCCCCCCTTCCCGCATCCTCCCCGCGGAGCCAAGCGCGCCCAAGGGGCGCGGAGGCGTCGGTGGTCCGAGGATCCCCGCAGCCCCGGCAGAGCGCGGTGGCCCGACCCACGGGCGGCGAGTTCCCGGTAAGTGCGGTCCCGGGAGCGGAGCGCGCCGGGGAGGCGTGGAGAGGGGGGCTGGGCGCCGGGGACGTCTGGGTCCCGCGCCCAATGGCTGGAGGGCGGCCGAGCACCGCCCGCCCGCCCCGCCCGCCCCCTCTCCCCTCCCCCAGGCGCTCCCCTCCCCCTCCCCCGCCCGCCGCTTTCCCCCGCCCCCGCCCCGGCGCCAACTCCGCGGCGCCTCCTTAAAAAGCGCGCGGGAGTTGTAAGGGGGGGCCGGAGCGAGCCTGAGTGAGCGAAAGCGCAGGGTAAAGGGGGCGGGCGGGGGGCCCGGGCTCCACCTTAAAAGCGGGCGCGTGGGGGTGGGAGGGAGGAAGGCGGGCGGCGGGGAGGAGGGAGGGAGGGAAGGAAGGGGGGCCGGAGTGTCCCGGGCGCAGGGCGCGCGTGCGGCGGCGGCGGCGGCGGCGGCGGCGGGGAGGGGCCGGCCGCGCCGCGCTCCCCTCCTCCCTCCTCGCATCCCCGGCCCCGCGCGCGCCCAGCAGAAGCGGGTCTGTGTGTGCGTGCGTGCGAGTGAGTGAGTGTGTGCATATATTTTTCTCTCTTTTCTTTCTCTCTCACTGTTTTTTCTCTCTCTCTCGCTCCCTCTC